CTGCTTGGTCTGCTGTGTTCATCCAGCTCTACACCTTGTTATTTCAGATTCTTCAGCATCTGCAGTTCCTACTATCTCTGAAACCCTTTTTAAAGAAATGTGTTTCCAAAAGTGTTCCACTTCTTTCCATGTTGCTAACTCAAGACTGACTCATTAGCTGTAGTTTTGAGAATTGATGGTAGGCTCCCCGTTATTGGATTTGTGTGAAAGAATCATTAATTGATGCAGCTCAAATTGAGATCTTTTTTCCTGACTCTCTCTCGTTTAAAGTGCAACTCTACCCCAATCTCCTACCCTATCATCATACTACAGCAATTACTTTCTGTTTGGGTCCTTAATCTCTCTTCTGAAACCCCAATTGAAACTGCGTTCACCACATTATAGAGGTGAACCACTCATTGCTGTTTTTATTCTAAACGATCTTCATATCACCATTCATCCTTTTCCTAGTTATCTAAAATTAATGTCCTGTGGTTATTGACCCTTCAGTCAGTGTGAGTATGTTACACCCTATCCAATCTGTCTAGAACCCTTCTATCAAACCTTGTTTGAACTTTTCCAGTCTCTGCTCAACTAAAATGTTTTCGACCAAGCAGTATCTTAGAATGGAAATAACTAGACATATCTGCAGAACAGAAATTTAATGTTTGAAATGCCTGTAACATTTGTCTCCCAGACTGCAAACGCAGGAGATTTGAGATAGTCCAGATTCTCCATCTAGATCTGTACCTAAACATATAATTAAAAATGAGACCTACTGTTTGTGGAACATTCCAGCACTTGAGATTTGTAATCCCAATTGTCTTGCCCTGGACAGATCCCAAAAGGATCCTTTGTTAGAACTGTGAAAGTGACTTTAGGTTCTGATAAAAGCACAGTAATCTGACAGTTTTGCAGAAAATAGTTTTGTAGGGTATTGAGATTTGGCAGGTATATAAATTATGCTACAAAGGGTGTGGTGTCTGTGCAATTGTGGTATGAAATGGAAGACTATCGGAACAAACAAAATAGGTAGTCTTCTAAATAAAATTCTTTGCAAAAGTGCTCAGATGCATGATTTGTTATATTCAGAATATTCCTCCACAAACCCTTTATTATCCATAACATGCAAGAATGCTAATAATCTGGTAGTGTACTAAAAATGAATAACACCTGTTACTGACAGAGAACTGTGCTCTATTGGATATTTTATTGCCATGCTGTGAATTTTTTAGGGTGTTTCACAGTCAAGTGAAAGACTGAACCTTGTCTTCATCCGAACTGTGTGGTGGTCATTGCCACAAATGCTGTTGTGGACAGAAGCATCTGCAACAGCTAGATTGAGGGTGACGTCTATCCAATTTTGATCCATCCTGCAGTGGGGCATAGTATAAGCCAGGAAATTCTGGGGGCTTGTAAGAAAAGTACAGCAATATTCACGGGTGAGTTGGCAAGATTTCCTCGAAGTAGAGTTCATTGAATGTATTAGACTGGTTTCACAAGTTTGCTGCAAGAAATGATCGGTGAGCAGGCTATTTTTGGATGTGAGTCATTAATTATCTTGTAATAAAAGATCCTGCTGGGGAAAGTGGTGAAAGCATGCTAAAATTTCAAATTCAGTTGGATGAGAAACTGGAGTCCCACTAAAGTAGTCTGGAGTTGGACAAAAGTAATCACATAAGCATGAGGACTAAAAGTTGGGATAGTTGATAAAACAGTGACAAATGTTTAAGGAAATACTTGATTGCTAGCAACTGGAAACATCTTAGATAGGAAGAAAAATTGTAAGGAGTGAACCTCCATGGCTAAATAAAAGATATAT